TTCATGTTATCAGGCCAGTGCTTCACTCAGCTCTTCCCCCTGACCCTTTTTTTTTTTCCCCTCAGTTTGCTCTTCTGGGTAAGATGCTCACTTGACTACTTGGAAATCACCTGAGCTTTGACCGTGGATATCCACATCTAAAATATGGCTGTTCTTGACTCTCTCGTTGCCCAAATTTAAATCAAAATAAAATGCCTTCTGTCTGATCTCAGATTTACGATTGTTCTGGGAAATGTCACAGAAGCAGGGGTGGTGTTGTTACACTAAAAATAGTCATCAGAAGCAGAGTCATGCAGAAGGCTTCTGGAATCTGATTCTAAAATCTTCCATGATGTCTGGTGACAGGTTCATTTGAGGTCCAAAGGATGGGACATTACTTAGAGGTAGAAACGGATGACTATCTAATTGAGTTCACATGTTAGTTGCTGATGCTCTTCTATTTCTTTTTGCTCATCCCTCTTTGACCATAGGAATGGAATACAGGAAGACCACAGTCAACAGTTACACTTTCCTCTAGTTCCTCTACTGTAGCTTTAGACTGAGATCACGGATGCTTAGATTATACAGACATTTGTGAGTGTGAACATTTGAATCTGGGTACTTTTTTTTTAAAATCTGTTCTGGCATATGTGTGAAGCTTAGCTGCTGCTTACTATTGCAAGAACTACAGAAGATTGTGTCTCTGTAGTCAGAGCCTGAATGCTTGGAGCCAGAGGCAATCATGCACAAAAGTAAGAGCCAAGAATTCTAGGCTTATGAAGAGGGGATTCTGAGACAGTGGGATGTTTTATAAAGACTCCTAGAAGTAGTCTAGGTAGTGATGAACCTCAGGAACTCGAAATCCTCTCTCTGATGCTATTTACTTTTGAAAATCTAGTTCTAAATCAGTTAGAAAAATACTCATTTAATTTACATCCATTTTTAAAGAAAAAGGAATTGTATGTGTGTGTGTGTGTGTGTGTGTGTGTGTGTGTGTGAGAGAGAGAGAGAGAGAGAGAGAGAGAGAGAGAGAGAGAGAGAGAGAGAGAGTGACAAGCTCTCATTCTGTTACCTTGGCTGGCCTTGAACCTGCAGGGTCCCTTCTGCCTCTGCCTCCAGAGTACTGGGACTGCTTCACTGTACCCAGCTAAGGTTTACTTTAAATAAATAGTCTCTCCACATGGGGTTTTAAAAGTATAAAGTCTGAGGAAAGGATTCTAGTTTTTTCTCAGGAGGTTAGCTAATTGTTGAAATACTAGATAGTAAACTCATATGGGCAAATAAATACACAGGCAGGTCTGTCTGGTTCTTGTGAGTTTTATAGTGTGCAGCATGGTCCATACAGCAAAGTGGCTATCTGACTAAGATTTGATCAAAGGAATCATGTCGTGAATGAAGCCAATGGGTGGTCAGATGAAGGACAGTTTGAACAAGGGTGTTGCCGAGGGACATAGCCTGACTGACAGAGGTCCAGGGCATGGCGGAAGGAACCTTGCACAACCAGAGACTGGCCATGTTGTAGGTGTTTTTGAGTGAGTGCCTATTTGACAAGATGGATGAAAGAGAGACACAGAGTTTCGTGAGTGGGAAAGTGATGGTGAGCGCTTTCAGGAAAAATGCCTTATGAAGTTATTAAAAAGCCAGTTGGCAGAGTAGAGTGGCTGCTTATGATTTTTGAAGTTAATGAAGCATAGATCCAGAGGGTGAAAACTGAAAACTTATAAAGCCATTCAAAGGGACAGATGCTAAGACATAGTGGCAGAGATAACTACAGGGAGGAAGGAGACATTGGTCTAGTCTGAAAGACTGATGAGATGAGCTAGGGGTCCTTGGGGAGGAAGCTAGTTGTGATAGATAGAAAGGTCCCCGGCTCAGCTCCTGCTCAGAGCAGTGAGAGGACAAAATCTGAACATTATAGATTATATAATAATATAAGCTGGGAGAGGTGAAAGGTCAGGCCAGACTTACAGATCCAAGAGGCTCTAACCTGGTGGTGACAACTTAAGACACAGATATGTGGAGAGAGATGAGAACAGGACAGTGTTCCCTGAGGTTAAAAACAGAGTGAGAACTGTCAGCCTGGACCCAAGTCATCTCATAAGCCCCTTGACCATTCATTTCTTATTAACTTTGCATCTCTAGCCTGAAGTATTGTGACTAATTGGAATATTCCAGAACCACTGTAAGAAGTATATGATTCTAGCCTGCTTTGCAATTAGTCTGCAGCAACACTGAACCTCAAAGGCAAGCACCTGAGGTCCTCACCAGAGGATGATGGTTCTAGAACAGAACTAGCCTTCTAGTTCTTCCTCCATAGTAGTGGTGGCTTCAGAAATGCAAGTGTGAGGATGGCTCAGGACTGTATAACAACATTGTCCCAGTAGACTATGTCTATCATAGACCACACTGCTTTTTTAAAACCTTGAAGGAGTAAGCCCTTGCTTTATGGACTCTCTGTACATTCTGTCAAGTAGATGTTGGCAGTCTTTACTTGTTGAATTCCTAAGGTCTAGAAGCTGCCAGAATATTTCCTTTGCTTTTTCCTCTTTCCTTTTCCCTTATGAGACTTTGAGAAGAGCCAGAGAGTGTGTGTGGTGTGCCAGCCACCCTAGGTGGATGTGAGGGTTTAAATGGTTCCTTTCTTTTCAGGTAGGTTGGCAGCTGGCATGCTGTTGGCAAAATGGGCAACTTCAGATGCTTGGTCCAGAGCAGGAAAGCACATTTGACATGCTTACTCATTCTTCTGGGGCTGATGTCTCAACATTCTGCTGGGCACCCAGTGAGTCCACAGGACTCTGCTTGCTCTTTTTTGAGGAGTTTCTTGGTGAAAAAACAAAACCAAGATGTCCCCCCTCTCTCCCTCTCTCATCTCTTAGCTTTCTTTCTGTGCCTTAGAGTAAATTCAAAAGTCAAAGTCCTTAGGCAGTCTTGAACTTGGCATCCAGCCCTAGAGCCGGCTTGTCTTGTCCGTTTTTCTGTATTTATGCTATTGCAAATTCCCTGACTTCTTGCTTCTGAATAACTCATGATATTTCAAGTTTAATTTTGGCTCTTGGCCCTGGAGGGCTTCAGTACTCCCAGGCTATCTATGCTAAGAGGTATTGTGCATTGCATATTGTTCTTTTAATCTTCAATTTTTCTCTCCCACAGAGGCCTCATGAATACCATCGGATAGACCATATGGTTACATGATACATAGCTGCTATAGCTCTAGATTGGGAGCAGGATTGCAAGATACCAATTACTCTCTAAGTCAGAGAAGTTCCAAGATCTAGTTTGGAGAATGGAATGGGAAGAAGGGGAGAGTAGTGTATTATTTCTAACAGGGGCTGGAGATAGCCCAGCACTGCCTCCAGGGGACCCTCACTGGTAAATGTGGAACCTGGCTTTGTGGTTCAGATTTGCTGCTTCAGATTTAAATGCTGGCATTGTTTAATCAAGAGAATAAGAAACTGAGAGAGCTAGAGAAAGAGAGAAAAGTGACAGCACTCATTCAGGATAGGATGGGACATTCTTAAGAGAAAGGATTGCACCTAAGTGTCTTAACAATGGCTCTGGCATTTATCTAGGGGAGATCTATTTGTCAATCATCTGTCTAACTGTCTTTTGAAGTGTCCATCTTTTGTCTTGATTTTACTTGTTATGCTGAAGTAGTTTTCGACTCTCACCCAGCAGAAACTGTAGTTAGATTTTGGACTATATTAATTACTTTGCTGTTGCTGTGTTAAAACACCCATGACCAAGGTAACTTATAAAAAATCATGAGTTTGTTTTGGCTTATGCTTACAGAGGGTTAAAGTCCATGATGGCAGGGAAGCATAGCAGTAAGCAGCAGGGGTGGAAGTTGGAATAGAAAGCTAGGTATTCACATCTTAAATTGCAAGCAGGAAGCCAGAGCACTCAGAATGACAAGATAGTCTGAAACCTTAAAGCCCAACCTCAGTGATGTACTTCTTCTAATTAGGCCACACGCCCCAAACCTCCACAAACAGCGCCACCAGCTGGGGATCAAGTGTTGAAATATGTGAGCCTATGGAGGCATTCTCATTCAATTCACCCCAATAAATGAAATGCATCTGTCCAATTTCTGTTCCCTTAATTTCCCCATCTTTATATCCTCAGTATCTTCCTTCTCACATTCATTCGGTGTTCACTCACTGAGTAGCCACAAATGCTCCAGGAAGAGCTCTTGGGTGGATGAGAAGGCCTGGGCCCAGAAAAGAGAGAACAGCACACCCTTTCCTAGTTCAGGTGGAAGGTGAGATGTCATTGTCTTCCCTGTCTGATTTCATGGAGTATTGATCCTTCTTCTGAGAGCTAGGTGTAGGGAGCCTGCAACCAAATGTGTGGGAAATAATCCCAGACAATGGGAACAACTCTTTGGCTCCCTGTTTGTAACACAGTGACTGAGAGGTTCCAAGGGACTAGACTGGAGAACTCCCACATGTTTTTGGCTACAGGTTGGAAAGGTTTTAATGGTGAAGACTGAGACATCTTTCCAAGGCCAGCATGTTGGGTCCTTGTGGGTAGGTGCTTGTCACAGATAGCATGCTGGAGCATTCTGTTTTCTGTTACGATAAATCTTTCCACCAAAAGCCGCTGAGCCCTACCGCCACATGGGAGCTTTACGCCAGTCTCCCCTGTCTGAGTTAGGGCCCAAATGAATACACAGAAACTTGTATTAGGTACAAAGCTGCTTGGCCAATGACTAGGATTCTCATCTGTTAGCTCAGTCTTAATTATCATAAATCTATATATTTTATAAGACTTATCTTATCAGACGCCTTATTGGCGTCCCTCCTTGCCGGTGGATCACATCCTGCCGCTGGAGCAGGAATGGGAAAGAGGGCCCTTCCTGTTTCTCCTTCGCTTAAATATGAGTCTCCTTGCTACATCACTTCCTGCCTGGATCATCACTTCTCTACTACATTTCCCAGAATCCTCTTTGACTCCTAGTCCCGCCTATCTTGCTGTTTCATTGGCCAAACAGAACCTTATTAAACAATCAATAAGATAACATACACAGAAGTACTTCCCCATCAGTTTTCTGTGTGAGCCTTTGATGATCTTTAATGTCAAGAAGATTTCCCATGCGCCACGGACAGGTTAGTCCTTGAATATTCAATATGTTCTGGCTTTATTCTGTTCCACAGGGAGCCATTTTTGGTAAAGTTAATGCTAAATTTGGCTGGTAGCAGCTGCTGTCACCTTCTTCTGTTGGACACAGCCAGTGCTCCAGAAAACCTATAGAATAAGAGCAGCAATCTTGATGCCAGTCAGAGGTGGTGGGTAGAATAATGATACCAGTGGATGCAAAGTTAAAGGCACTTGGTCTGCTCACCATGATTTGGTGGTGTCAGGCTGTGCACAGTTTGAATGGTGGGCCCTGCCCCCAGGGTAGTCAAATGTTCTATTGTGGTGACTAGAACGGAGAAAGAACAAAGCAAATATGGTTCCCCATGAGCTTACGTCTTTTGGTCTTTTTGATGCAAGGCAAATGCCTAATGGAAGCCATATCAACTGCCAGGAAATGTTTCTGTCCGGCTTCTGTTATTGACTTGCAGAGTGAGTCACCCAGTCTCTTGTGTTTGAGATCTTCCATCTGCTACTAAAGGAGAATGGTGTCTAATCTTTCTCTGTGGCCAGAATACAGGAAGTGTTATTCCAGGGATTTCCGTGGTAAAGATTAGAGGTATGATTAAAGATAGGTGTCCGTCTCAGTCCAGCTTGTGGGAGGACAAACTTTCAGAAGTCAAAAGAGTCTTGAAGCTGGTTGTTGTCCCACATAGCATTTAGGAGGGAGGTAGAGGCAGGAGGATCAGCGGTTCAAGGTCAGCTTCTGCAGCATAGTGAGTTTGAGACCAGCCTGGACTACACCAGATCCTGTCTCAAACAACAACAACAACAAACAAACAAACAAAACCCAACAAAACAAAACAAAAAAACAACAACAAACCTTGATCTGTACAGTGGGATCAATGCCTTGTTTTCTGGGTTATTATGAAGCTAAAGTGCCATGAGGTAAAAATTGTGCCAGCATAGCACCTGATGTATGTTGCATATATGTGTATATGATATGTGTGTATATGTTTATGTGTAGATATGTATGTATGTGTGTGTTGCATAAGTGTGTATGTGTGGATATGTGCATTTACATGTGTGTCTGTGTGTGTGTGTGAAGTTTTTTTCTTTCACTTCTCTCATGCATCCTCCCCAGTGAACTTTTAATCTCTATGTGGGGAGTTGTCAGTGTCATGACTACAGACATTGATACTGACTTGATCTCCTTGATGGGCAAGCAGCAGAAATATGAAGGAACACCCGGGGCTCAGTAGAAAGTGCTGATAATGACACCGGAACCTGCTTGGAGCTCACATGTCCAAATGAATCATGTCTCCCAGTGTGATTCCTGTGTCTTCCTGTTGGTACAGGAATACCAACTACTGTTTCAATTGTTAGGCTACATTGGATTACTCCTGGATGACTGTTAGACTATCTCTGGAATCAAAGGAGAGCACTTTTTGTGTTAGCTCTACATTCTGGGACCTAGATGCTGTCTCCTCAGGACCTGCCACTCAGTGGCTTCCTGCAGGGTGAAGCCTCAACTTTTCAGGATTTTGTAAGATGCTTCTGGGATGATTCCAGCCTTGTTGTCCTTGGCTACCCTCAGTTTCATCTTCACACCCAGTACTCCAGCCTAATGAGACCACACAGAGATTACCGAAAAGTTCTTGCAGAGCCCCAGAATGCTCTGCCACCTCAAACATCTCTGTCTCTGAACTTCCCTAACTCCACCACACCCCAAGTTTAAATGGAAATTCCTTCCTTTATGGCTCCATTACAGTCACTGACTATTTCCCTTGTGAAAGACTGCTCACTATGTTAGCCATTTGCATGCTTATGTATCTATGGTGTAGGAACTGCTAGAGGTTAGAGACCTTATCTCAAGAAACAGCCTGTATCCCATCTGATTGTCCTTTCAGAATTAAATGTCATCAAAACAAAAAAGTGCCCTCTGTCTTATTATACTCTCCATTCATAGCTGTTTTCTTCCTGGGACCAGAAAACTCACAGCAAAAAGAAGTGGTAGTGTATAGGAATCAATGACACACATTTCTGTATTTAATTTTCTCCTGGATTTTATTTCCCATTTTATCTATATTTTACCATATCTTTCATCTGTATTCCCCAAGATATATGGATATTCCCATCCGTGACCATGCTTGTATTTACTTGAGGAATGGTTCATCTTTTACCTTTAGAGATGTCCTCTCATTATTAAAGTTTCCTTTGACTAAGAAAATTCAAAGGTGTTTTTGAAGGTCCAGGACAGATAGCACCCCACCCTTGTTAGCCCTGAACATGTTACCATCCACCTTACATACTCTTTCAGCCACACACCTGGCCTCAGGTGTGTAAAATGTCCTGGGTTAAGAAACAGAACAGTAGTCCTCTCTTCCTTATCTCTATTGTTGTATAGATCAGCATTTCCCATCTTCTCTATGGGGCAACAAGGAGCTTGACTCCACTATCTCTGGGAACTTTCTGATGAGACATTATTCAGTTGTTAGCAAGTGGCATCTAAGTATGAATTCATTTTGTATGCGTTTTTATGAAAACACTTTGGACACTAGTTAAAAAGCAGTTTTAACTAAGCTCCTTTGTGATGGCAACTGCCCCACAGAGAAAAGTAGGAAGAGTGAAGTGATCTATGACAAAGTAACTTTGCCCACATAGTGTAACATAGTGTACCTGAATTCCCTTATTAAGAAAACCAGTTTGGTGCTGGAGAGATGGCTCAGCCGTTAAAGGCTATGCTCACAACCAAAAAATAAGAAAACAAGTTTGTTTCCAAATGCCTTCTTTTTAAGAAATACAGTCTGTCAATATTTGATAAAAGAATCCAGATTTGAATTACCTGCTCTGCCTTCTAGGTTTGGAAGTTACAAAGTGACTTTGGGAATTTTAGACTTAAGTAGGGGTAGAAAGGGTGTGGGAATAGACTCCCACACATGCAGTCTGCTTTGAATAACTGGTCTCCTTGAGAATGGAGAGAAGGGCTTTTTTTAGTCAGGGGTAGGAGTTGTCTCTGAGATAAGGACCATTTGCTTTCAAGAGGATCCTGGTACTTCTTATCTCCACATCTCTTGGGCTGCAGTGGCTCTGCCATGTGCATCTTGCTGTACCCACCTCCCATGGAAGTAATAGCAAGTTTTATATGGAAACATCCCAAACACTCATCCCTGGTTCAGACTTAGCTGATGGCCTAGAGTCCTTGTTCTACAAATTAAAAAGACAATAACTGATGTTCAGACCCATTCATCAATTAGCCTTTAGTCCCACAACTAGTTACCAACAGGGCTGAGGTCAGAATTCAGGTGTCCTGATTCTCTGGGAGGTGACTCCCTCCATATTCCTCTTCTTCCTTCTTGTGCATTTGATGGCTTGTGGCTCTGCAGCACAGCTAAGAAGTATACCTGGAAGTGGAAAGACAGACACAAAGCTGAAACCTTGCTTTGTTTGGAAAGCCCCCAAGAGCAACCATTTATGTGACCACATAGTTGAAATGACAAAGAGATATAGTGAACTTCCTTATTTGAGAATCTTGTTACAACAATTGCAAAATCCTTTCAACTGTTCCTGTTGGAAGACATATTACTTTCTTGGAAGCTTAAGTATGAAAAACTAGCTTTAAATAGTTGTCAATACATGTGAGGTGAGAGGCTTGCTTGATAGAAATTCTAATGAAGGAGAATGACAAGACGGCTCAGTGGGTAAAGGTGCTTGCCGCCAGGCCTGATGACCTGAGTTCGAGTTCCATGATGCACACAGTGGTGTGAGAGCTGATTCCTACAGGTTGCTTTCTGACCCTCACTTCTGAAATGTGGCGTGGGACACCCAGCACATACATTTTCATATTTGCATTAAATGAAATGTTCACAGTCATGTGGTAACCCTTTCTCAGACATTGAAATGGATTGCCTACTTGAGGGACCATCAATAAAAAGTAGGGGAGAAGAAAATGAAGCTATACCAAATCTCTGTCAGATGTAAATTCCAATTTATATGCAAAAGATCGACTGGAAGTGATATGATGGTTTACATCAGCTTACCACCTTGACAGGACATAGACTAACCTCTGGGCATGTCTGTAGGGGATTCTCCAGGTTATATTAGCTTTGGTGCATGCCTGTGGGGATTCTCTAGGTTAGATTAGCCTTGGCACATGCCTGCAGGACATTTCTAGTTTAGCTAAATTGAAGTAGAAATACTCACCTAATGTGGGTAATACTACCACATGGCTGTTTGCTGTGCTGCATAAAAAGGTGAATGGGAACCAAGCACACACATTCTGTAAATAGAGTTCTTAATTGGTCTAATTAATAAAAACACAGAGTCAGATATAGAGGAAAACTCTGAGAGATTTGAGAGAAGAAAGAGCAAGCCACAGCCACACCTTACCTCCTTAGCGTCTCAGCAGACAAGAGAGCAAGTTCCTGTTTCTGCCTGCTTATATCCCCTCTCTACCCAGCAATCTCCTTCCTTCTGTCTGTACAGACCTCCAGACCTCTATGGTTAGCTGTGGTAAGCTGCATTCTTTGACCTTCAGACAGGCTTTATTTGTACAAGCAAGATATCGCCACATATCCCTCTTTTGGTCTAAAAATAAAAAAAAATGTTGTAGCTAATATAAGAAAAACTATATACAATAAGCCCATACAATATATACAGGCAATAAGTACATTAACAATGTCTAGTTCATTAGCATTTGACAAATTCATAGAAAATACTCCAATATCTATTCTTTCTTGATGAGTTCAAAGTCTTGTACCTAATTTACTTTCTATTTTAATTTTCATTATCAAATTATAAGTCTTTCAAACTTATTACACTTAGCACATCTTTAGTGAGTTTCTTTACTGAGTCTTGTAAACAAGAAAAAACATAACTATACTATTTAGTCTTCAACTCCCTCAGAGACCCAAGAAGGAAATAATATTAACTGAATAAGCAGGAAGTGCAAGCAAGTGACTTCCAAAAAATGTGAGAAATGACAGAAACAGCTGGCTGCCTGGACAGTCACCCAAGGTTGCTCTGCAATGCT